AAAATCAGTATCCCCAAGGGGGTTCGAACTGAGATCACCAGCCACGCTGAGAGTTCAGCGAGAAACCCTTAGTACAAACTCAAAGGAAGGGGGTGGGGGGGGGGGGGGCTGTCGTGGCGTAGATGTTACGGAGTTCGCCTCTCATTCAAAGGTCCAAGGTTCGAATCCGGGAATTGTCGGAAATTTGTCTTCGCAAAAATTGTCTCCTTTCGCCGTTTCTCCTGCTCTCTGGCAATGTTCTGTCGTCTGCTTTCATTTCCACTTTCTGTCCCCACCCCGTCACCTCCGTTGCCCCCTCCTCTGGGCTCCTGACTCTTTCTGCAGCCTTTCTACTGCTACTCCTTGTCTCCTTCTTACTGCTGTCTTTCAGCCACACCCCTGATCTTCTGGAAGGAAAGATCTACACCTCACCTTCTCGGACAAGGGCGAAAAATCTCGGAAGGCCCGTGTGCAAGTTGCGCACGTTAAAGATCCCTTGGTGGTCTAAAATCGATAAGAGTAGGCTTCGGGCGCCACCCGGGTAAAATTCAAAATTTCCTACCAACTGAAAATATTCGGGTGTCCCGCGTGCTCATATGACCTCCTCATGCAGTTGCAAGTGCCGTAAAAAAAATTACCAAAAAACAAAAAAGACTCAAAGACGTGCCCTCGAAGTTCTTTTGAAGGCGTAAAACTTCGACACAGACGACGAACAAAAGTATATGACAGACCTGAGTACGTGCGTGGGTGGTTGGCGGGTGCTCTGGTATGGTTTTCTTCTTCTTTCCCTTCAAACATCTATCGTCCTTTTCTCCCCTTCTTCTTTTTTTATGTTTGTTCCTCTCTCTTGTAACACCTCTAATCTTCTGGCGCTCATATTACCTTATGCAGTTGCGAGCGCCGTAAAACCTCTACCAAAACTAAACTAAGACCTGAGTACGATATAACGAACAGAAACTAAACAAGTTCTGTAGGAACCCCGCCCCTCCCCGACACACGAGTGACAGACTGTGGCCACGGTCTCAACACACACACACACACACACACACACATACACACACGAAGCACACACACCGTATCAACACACACACACACACACACACACACACACACACACACACACACACGCACACCGTGTAAACACACACACACACACACACACACACACACACACACACACACACACACACACACACACACACACCATTTCAACACACACAAACACACACGGCATTCAGCAAAAGAGAACCGTTGATCCGTTGAAAAGGCGGAAGAATTAAGCGCTCTCCTCAACCCTCAACCTGTTGGTTTGGTCTGGTAAGGGTTGTTGCCTGTTGAGACACGAATAGAACATGTGTCACGACACGCTGAATCGGGCACTCGTCAATTTTTGGGCATGTGGAGTTATTGGTACCATCTGAAAGCTGTTTCACTTGCCCTGCTTTTTATGAAAAAAATACCTATTTATCTTGCTTAGAAGTCGAGACATTTGCTATCGAAAGAGGTAAGTGAGCTCGATTTCAGGGGTAAAATTAGAGAGAGAATGGCGGCTAAAATACTGTGACTTCCATAGTTTGACAGTAAAATTCACACATGGAAATGTGTTATTTATAGATTGACAAACGAGGTGATGAGCTAAAAAACAAAAAAAATAGATAAAAGTTGACAAACTGGAGGAAAAATACCTCTTTCTTCAATTTCATTATTTTGACGAGCGCCTGATTCCACCCCGTTTTTAGGGGGGGGGGTGCTTTTTTTCTTTGTCTCTCTGTTGCATCTGTCTGTTTCGCCTCATGACCAACGGCTAACTGAAAGCTATTGTGTCTACGACTGATCGAGCCTCTTTTCAATTCTCACGAATAAACCTGTCCCTGCGGTTTTATGCTCCAAAACGTATTTCTGAAATTATGCAGACTGATCCCAAAAACTGTGAAATTATGTGATTTGGTCACTTTATACAAAGAAGGATAAAGGAAAATAATCAGAACTTATGCAAAAAAAAAAAGGATTAAATTTTGCTAAATTATTATGCCGGGTGCATAAAACCTCGGGGAAGATAAACGCACGCCAATTTCTTTACCCCAGAATAAATAAAAATGTATCTGCTCATTACTTAGGTTTGATAAATTTGACATGAATTTACGTACCTCGGAAGCATATTCACAGAGGATGGGTGACTGAAAAGAGATATTCGAAACCCGAGTACAAAAGGCCAATAATGTTAGTTA